GGTGGTAAGGGGGGGGTCTAGCAGTGTTAACTGGCCCCTCCGCTTTTCAGATTAAGGTTGTGTTTAGCTTACTTTTGTACCACATTTACATGTACATGCCTATTTACCTAGTTCACCAGTCATCTTCCTCAAGATGCGTCATCAATTTCGTTCGCTTATTGGCCATCGCTTAGTGCCACAGCCACAGGCTGACGCCACGCGGCCTACGGACACTGCAATGCCGGGCGTTCAGACTGTTGTTGCTATGACCTGCGAACGCGTATGCTCAAAACCATATTACATGGTTTTTGTCTGTAATCAATTCTGACTGAATTTTGAACATTCTAAGACGAACATCGATTAGCCATGTTAATACAAGCTTAGGACCCCATTTCATCTACAATCTACGTTCAGGGATTCCTCAATATCTCTGAAGAAAACAGAAGAACACGGAACTGGGGCCTGCATGACTGATCTGGGGCCAACTGCGCGGGTCAAAAGGCCTCCCGTGTCAGGGAGGGGAACAATGTGATATGATATATCCTTCCAATGGCCCCAGGATCGACCAGGAGATCCCGCCCCGTGTCGCTAGAATGACAGCCAGAAGACGCTTTGCGATGGGACGGAGTGGCCCTTCAGCTCTTGACCGGAACCAGCAATGTGCCCTTGGTGTTCTACTCAAGTGAAGGAAATTTGCCCGGAAGGAAATAAGGGGCCTCATTATTGTTGAACATAGTGGAGCTCTCATCATTGTTGAATGGAGTAGGTCGAAATGAATTTAAAGAAAACGAACAAGACCATCCCATGTTTGTCTATGAACGTTCATTTTTCAGGATGGAGTAGTGAAAAAGTGCATCAAAAGGTTTGAACATGTACGCCCGTAACCTCAAGAGCGAGGACAGCGCTGGTCTGGGTTGCAGCTTCCGTAAAACTGAGTGACTTAAATGAGTTCACGTACGGGTCAACACACCCTGTAAATTTAGTGTCTCTAGCTCTCTTAGTTCCCGAGATCTCAGGAGGGTCAAATTGGCTCCTCACCCGAGCAAAGGGTATCTAGCCGGCCACCCTGGCGGCCCTCGGTTTGTTAAACATGTAACCAGAATAGAATTTTACGAGTACTTTTGAGTTTTCGTTCTGGTTACAACGTGAAAATAGCAATGAAACGAAGAAAACCGTTATCCCTTGTTAACAAGTAAACCTATATCCGGCGGTATTTTTTTTTTTGTGGGGGATCGCCATAAAGGGCCTTTTGTCAAACCCCCGTTGTTCTTCTTAGCAAGGCTCTGGCTACCCCTGCCTACCACACAAAAACAGATCAAGTCATCTAAGTGAATGACGGGCAGTTAAATATCCGTTGGGCCAATTCATACCTAAACTAGGCAGTTCCGGCGGCATTTTTCTGCGGGTGGTTTGGTGTCAGGGAAGATTAATTTGGAAAAAGATTACTGTTGTAGGTGTTCATCGCATGCTTACATCCCCGTTAGTAGCAATGCTGATCCAGAAATGTGCAACAAAGCAGCCATACCATCAGTTCGCGGTCAGTCATTCAGAGACAGCCGGGCCAGGACAGTGGCCACCGACGGCGCACGGTAGCAAGGCGCAGACAAGGAATATATGACAGAA